GTGGAGCCGACCGTCTCGCTGGCGCCGGAGGCCGGAGAGGACTTCCAGGCGGTGGCGGCAGCTGTGCAGGCGAACCCGGCGGTGGTCCTGCTCGACAGCGGCTGCTCCCACCACCTGATGGGGACGAAGGAGGTCTTCGTCGACCTGCAGCCGAGTGGCTCCATCAAGCACGTGCGCGGCTTCAATGGGGCGCTGCAGGACGTCCAGGGCCGCGGTACTGTCGCTCTGCAAGGGCAGGCCGGGAAGCAGGTGCTCATCCCCGACGTGCTGTACGTCCCGGGTGTGCGGGCCAACCTGCTGTCGGCCGGCCAGCTGAAGGAGCACGGCGTGAAGCTGCAGGAGGACGGAGACGGCATGCTGCTCGTCTCGGCGGCTGGGGAGGTGCTCGGTCGGGCGACGTACTCCGGGCGAGTTCTCTGCACCGACCTGCGTCCCTGCTCACAGACTTCGCCCACGCCGGAGGTTGTGGCCCTGCGGGCGATCGTCTCGAAGACGAAGTCGACGCCGGACCGGATGCACGCGAGGCTGGCGCACATAGGCATGGACACCATCAGGAGCTCGGCGAAGCACGAGGTCGCCATTGGGCTGGACCTCAAGTCGGCGACGGGCGCCGACTCACCGTGTGTCTCGTGCGTCGGCGGGAAGCTGGCGCGGCACACCTTCCCCGACCAAGGCTCCGACGCCGACGACGTGCTGGCCGTCGTGCACATCGACCTGTGCGGGCCGTTCCGCGTGGCTGCCAAGGACGGCAGCTTGTACTTCCTGCTGCTAAAGGACCGCAAGACCCGCTTCGTGTGGGTGCGGCCGGTCGCCAAGAAGTCGGACGTGCTGCTGGAGTTCCAGAAGTGGCTGGTGTTGGTGGAGCGGCAGACGAAGAAGTCGGTGCTGCAGTTGCGCTCGGACCGAGGAGGGGAGTTCCTCGGGAAGAAGTTCACCGACTTCGTGGACGACAAGGGGATCGTCCACGACCTGACCTGCCCGTACACCCCGCAGCAGAACGGCATGGCGGAGCGGGAGATGAGGACGGTGGTGGAGTCCGTGCGGACGATGCTGCTGCACATGGGCGTGCAGCACCACTGGTGGCACCTCGCTCTGCGGCAGGCCGTCTGGGTCCGCAACTGCCTTGAGCGGTCGACGCTGCCGTCTGCGACGACACCATACCAGCTGCTGACCGGGCAGAGGCCCGACTTGTCGCTGGCGCGGGTGTGGGGCTGCATGGCGCGGTTCCTTGTCCCCGAGCAGCAGCGTGGTGGGAAGCTGCAGCCGAAGGCCAGGTGGGGCCTTCATCTTGGTGTGTCGGCGGCGAGCAAGGGCTGGGAGCTCCTCGACGTCGACGCCAACCGGGTGGTCACCACGTCGGACGTGGTGTTCTACGAGGAAATGTCGCTGGCCGAGTGGAAGTCGGAGCACGGGCCGGTGTCCGGCCGTTCGTCGTCCACCCCGCCCTCTGACACCTCGTCGGCGACGCTGCCGCTGCTTGCCGAGGTCGGTGAGCTTGCTGCTGAGGACGTCGAGGACGTCCACCCCCCTACCCCTCCCCCTACGACCCCTGCCCCTCCCCTCGTGGCCGACCTGCGTGGGCTGACCTCGGTGTCGGCCTCCGGCGATGAGGGGAGTAGTGGGACGTCGCCTTTGGCGCCGGCCACGAGCATCGCCGGTGGCCGACGTGACGAGAGGCAGGTCGACATGGGATTGAGGCCGACGTCGACAGGGAAGGAGCAGGTCGAGGAGCAGCAGCCGACAGGGGAGCAGGCAGCCGTGAAGCCGACTACGGAGCAGTCGGCGACCGGGCAGTCGGCAGGGGAGCCGACCACAGGGGAGAGGTCGACCAGGAAGTCGACCGAGGTGCAGCAGGACGACGAGGGCAGTGAAGACGGTGACGCCGGGGAGTCCACCGAGAGTGACGTGGTGGAGGTTCGGCCGGAAACCCGGAAGTCGGACAGAGTTCGGAGGCCGCCGGACTTCTTTGTCCCCGCTGCCTTCACTACGGTCTACGACGTCGACGATGACGACGACCTACTGTACGACGACGCCGAGGAGGATGAGGACTTTCCGGAGCTCGACCCGGACATGCTGGCCGACCCCGAGCACCGTTGGGATATTTCGACGATGAAGGTGAAGGAGGCGTTGGCGAGCTGGAAGGGCCCGGCGGTGAAGGCCGCCATGGAGGAGGAGATCAACATGGGCACTTGGGAGCTGGTCGAACGCCCGCCGGGGGTCAACATCATGAAGAACCGGTGGGTGTTGACGACAAAGTACCACGTCGACGACACCGTCGAGCGCGAGAAGGCGAGGCTGGTCGTGAAGGGCTTCACGCAGGTGTACGGCGCCGACTACGACGAGACGTTCACGCCGGTGGGCAGCTACGTCACCCTGAGGATCTTCCTCAGCATCGTCGCCGTCCTCAACCTCAACCTGATGCAGCTCGACATGAAGAACGCCTTCCTGCAGAGCAAGCTCGACCGGGTGCTCTACATGGCTCAGCCGGACTACTTCAACGACGGAACCGGCCGGGTCTGCAAGCTGCTGAAGAGCATGTACGGGCTGAAGCAGTCGCCGCTGCTGTGGTACTTGGCGCTCAACGACGTGCTGGTCGGCGCCGGGTGGAAGAAGAGCCAGGTCGACGAGGCTCTCTACTTCAAGGTCGGCGACGACGGAGTGACCTGCTGGGTGCTGGTCTACGTCGACGACCTGCTCGCCGCCAGCAGTAGCACCGAGATGCTGAAGGAGCTGAAGGAGCTGCTGGAGTCCGCCTTCGAGCCGCGTGAGATCTCGCCGGTGCAGAATTACCTCGGGCTGGAGATCGTCCGCGACAGGTCGGCGGGGAAGCTGTGGCTGCACCAGCAGGGCTACGCCGACAAGCTGCGTAGGCGCTTCATCGACGAAGAACAGACCGGGCGGACTCCGAAGACGCCGGTCTCGGTCGGCGCCTACGCCGAGCTCACCTTCGACGACGAGGAGGCGCAGGAGCGACAGGAGGAGGAGTACCGGCAGAAGGTCGGCTCGCTGCAGTTCGCGGCGACGACGACAAGGCCGGACGTCGCCTTCGCCTGCAGCAAGCTAGGGAGCGGCCTCACGGTGAGGAGCGACCAGCACTGGCGCGAGGTCGACCGCTGCCTTGCCTACCTCGCCAACACGCGTGACACCGCCCTGGAGTTCGGCGGTGGACCTGAGTCGCTGGAGCTGGTCGGCTACGTGGACGCCGACGACGCCGGTGACAAGCAGAACAGGACGAGCACGGGAGGCTACGTGTTCGTCTACGGAGGGGCCGCGGTCTCCTGGTCGAGCCAGCGCATCAAGTGCGCGACGTTGTCGTCGACCGAGTCGGAGTACGTGGTGGCCACCGAAGCCGGGAAGGAGGGACGCCGACTTCGCTTCCTTCTCGCAGAGTTCCAGCAGCTGGATGCTGGGAAGCCGACCGTCCTCCGGGTGGACAACAAGTCGGCCATCACGGTCGCCGAGGGCATGGGGTTGACGGGCAACCTCAAACACATGGAGCGGCGACAGGCCTGGCTGCAGCACATGGTGAAGCGCGGGAAGTTCTCGCTGATGTACATCCCGACCGCTGAGCAGCCGGCCGACTTTCTGATGAAGGCGCTGCACTATCCGGCCTTCAACCGGTGCTCCGTCGCCATCGGCCAGGTGCGCTTGGCCGACGTGGGCGACGAAGTTGACGAAGTGCAGCAGTAGGTGCCATGCCCTCTTGCATGGCTGGTGCGGTGACGACGTGCTGTGTGTTGGGTGCACGTCGACGAGCTATTCTCTGGGGAGTACTGCCGTATGGGCTGGGGGCCCAAGCGTGAACGCGGCAGGGGAGTGTCAACGGGAGTTGTGTGTTGGCCCCGTCCTCGCTTGGGCGGAGCCGACTTCGTGGTCGGGTGTGAGGGGAGCAGCCGACCTGCAGCAGTGGGCGAGCTGGTTGACAAGGAGGTCGACCTACACGGGAACCACTGCACGGGCGCCGACTTCAGGGTGGCGCCGACTTCAGGGAGGTCGACCTGGGAGGTTGACCTGCGGAGGACGTCAACTTGGTGACGTCAACTTGGGGCAGCCGACTTGGGTGGTCGGCTGACGGACTGCTGGTCGACCTGGTGGTTGGTCGACCAGGCCTGCTGGTCGACCTGCTGGTGGTCGACCTGACCTGGTGGTTGACGAAGGAGGGGCCGACGTCGACCTCGACTCAGGACGCCGAGCAGTTGGGCGTCGAGTAGCTGGGCGTCAACTTCGTGACGCCGACTTCGGGTAGCCGACTTGGGAGGTCGGCTGACAATTGCGCTGGTCGACGAGGCGCAAGTAGACCAGGAGTGCTGGTCGACGTGGAGCTGGTCGACCAGGAGGGACGTCGACCTGGAGCTGGTCGACCAGGGGCGTGGTCGACCTGGTGAGGCCGACGTGGAGGTGGTCGTCGACTTGGGAGGTCGACGGGCACGTACGGGAGTTGCTGGTCGACGAGGTTGCCCGGTCGACCAGGTTACCTGGGTGACGAAGTGCTGCGGAGGAGTGCGACGGTCGCCCAGGCAAAGTTGGCGAGCCCGACCTCGGTGGTGGTATCCCGAGGTCGTCGTGGCGGATCAGAGGCAGTCGTCAGCTCGAGGTTGACGTGGTGTGTGCGCTGTGCAGGTGACGAGACTCTGCACGCCAATCATCTGCGTGCACCTGCGAAGCGGGTGCGCTGCTGTCCTGCGTGAGCAATGCTGGCACGCCGTCAACCTCCGATGTTGGCACGCCGTCGACCTTGCACTGCTGGAGCGCGGTCGACCAAGTCGTGCTGGAATGCGGTCGACCAAGCTGCGCTGGCAGTTGGCCGACCTGAATGCTAGCTCTGATGTAGTCTTGCATTGCCAACTTCATTGTATCATTGTTGTCAACCTTTCTCTAGTGAAACTCGCCTTGTGAACTAGCAAGCAGTGTGAGCACTAGGAAACCGACTAAGGACCAAGGAACGCAGAGATCACACGAGCACCCGTGCCTAGCCCGTAGTCTAGCTCCCGTTGTAGTAGTTATCTCCGCAAGAATGGGGCGGGGTGATGGAAAGCGGGAGAATGGGGCGGGGTGATGGAAAGCGGGAGAATGGGGCGGGGTGATGGAAAGCGGGAGAATCGGGCGGGGTGATGGAAAGCGGGAGAATGGGGCGGGGTGTTGGAAAGCGGGAGAATGGGGCGGGGTGATGGAAAGCGGGAGAATGGGGCGGGGTGATAGAAAGCGGGAGAATGGGACGGGGTTATGGAAAGAGGGAGAATGGGGCGGGGTGATGGAAAGAGGGAGAATGGGGCGGGGTGATGGAAAGAGGGAGAATGGGGCGGGGTGATGGAAAGCGGGAGAATGGGGCGAGGTGATGGAAAGAGGGTGAATGGGGCAGGGTGATGGAAAGAGGGAGAATGGGGCGTGGTGATGGAAAGAGAGAGAATGGGGCGGGGTGCTGGAAAGCGGGAGAATGGAGCGGGGTGATGGAAAGCGGGAGAATGGGGCGCGGTGATGGAAAGCGGGAGAATGGGGCGGGGTGATGGAAAGCGGGAGAATGGGGCGGGATGATGGAAAGAGGGAGAATGGGGCGGGGTGATGGAAAGCGGGAGAATGGGGCGGGGTGATGGAAACCGGGAGAATGGGGCGGGGTGATGGAAAAGGGGAGAATCGGGCGGGGTGATGGAAAGCAGGAGAATGGGGCGGGGTGCTGGAAAGCGGGAGAATGGGGCGGGGTGATGGAAAGAGGGAGAATGGGGCGGGGTGAAGGAAAGCGGGAGAATGGGGCGGGGTGATGGAAAGAGGGAGAATGGGGCGGGGTGATGGAAAGCGGGAGAATGGGGCGGGGTGATGGAAAGCGGGAGAATGGGGCGGGGTGATGGAAAGCTGGAGAATGGGGCGGGGTGATGGAAAGCGGGAGAATGGGGTGGGGTGATGGAAAGAGGGAGAATGGGGCGGGGTGATGGAAAGAGGGAGAATGGGGCGGGGTGATGGAAAGCGGGAGAATGGGGCGGGTGATGGAAAGCGGGAGAATGGGGCGGGTGATGGAAAGCGGGAGAATGGGGCGAGGTGATGGAAAGAGGGAGAATGGGGCGGGGTGATGGAAAGCGGGAGAATGGGGTGGAGTTATGGAAAGCGGGAGAATGGGGCGGGGTGACGGAAGGCGGGAGAATCAGGCGGGGTGTTGGAATGCGGGAGAATGGGGCGGGGTGATGGAAAGCGGGAGAATGGGGCGGGGTGCTGGAAAGCGGGAGAATGGGGCGGGGTGATGGAAAGCGGGAGAATGGGGCGGGGTGCTGGAAAGCGGGAGAATGGGGAGGGGTGATGGAAAGCGGGAGAATGGGGCGGGGTGATGGAAAGCGGGAGAATGGGGCGGGGTGATGGAAAGAGGGAGAATGGGGCGGGGTGATGGAAAGCGGGAGAATGGGGCAAGGTGATGGAAAGAGGGTGAATGGGGCAGGGTGATGGAAAGAGGGAGAATGGGGCGTGGTGATGGAAAGAGAGAGAATGGGGCGGGGTGCTGGAAAGCGGGAGAATGGAGCGGGGTGATGGAAAGCGGGAGAATGGGGCGGGGTGATGGAAAGCGGGAGAATGGGGCGGGGTGATGGAAAGCGGGAGAATGGGGCGGGATGATGGAAAGAGGGAGAATGGGGCGGGGTGATGGAAAGCGGGAGAATGGGGCGGGGTGATGGAAACTGGGAGAATGGGGCGGGGTGATGGAAAAAGGGAGAATCGGGCGGGGTGATGGAAAGCAGGAGAATGGGGCAGGGTGCTGGAAAGCGGGAGAATGGGGCGGGGTGATGGAAAGAGGGAGAATGGGGCGGGGTGAAGGAAAGCGGGAGAATGGGGCGGGGTGATGGAAAGAGGGAGAATGGGGCGGGGTGATGGAAAGCGGGAGAAGGGGGCGGGGTGATGGAAAGCGGGAGAACGGGGCGGGGTGATGGAAAGCGGGAGAATGGGGCGGGGTGATGGAAAGCGGGAGAATGGGGTGGGGTGATGGAAAGAGGGAGAATGGGGTGGGGTGATGGAAAGAGGGAGAATGGGGCGGGGTGATGGAAAGCGGGAGAATGGGGCGGGTGATGGAAAGCGGGAGAATGGGGCGGGTGATGGACAGCGGGAGAATGGGGCGAGGTGATGGAAAGAGGGAGAATGGGGCGGGGTGATGGAAAGCGGGAGAATGGGGCGGAGTTATGGAAAGCGGGAGAATGGGGCGGGGTGACGGAAGGCGGGAGAATCAGGCGGGGTGTTGGAATGAGGGAGAATGGGGCGGGGTGATGGAAAGCGGGAGAATGGGACGGGGTGATGGAAAGAGGGAGAATGGGGCGGGGTGCTGGAAAGCGGGAGAATGGGGCGGGGTGATGGAAAGCGGGAGAATGGGGCGGGGTGCTGGAAAGCGGGAGAATGGGGAGGGGTGATGGAAAGCGGGAGAATGGGGCGGGGTGATGGAAAGCGGGAGAATGGGGCGGGGTTATGGAAAGAGGGAGAATGGGGCGGGGTGATGGAAAGAGGGAGAATGGGGCGGGGTGATGGAAAGCGGGAGAATGGGGCGGGGTGATGGAAAGCGGGAGAATGGGGCGGGGTGATGGAAAGCGGGAGAATGGGGCGGGGTGATGGAAAGCGGGAGAATGGGGCGGGGTGCTGGAAAGCGGGAGAATGGGGAGGGGTGATGGAAAGCGGGAGAATGGGGCGGGGTGATGGAAAGCGGGAGAATGGGGCGGGGTGACGGAAGGCGGGAGAATCAGGCGGGGTGTTGGAATGCGGGAGAATGGGGCGGGGTGATGGAAAGCGGGAGAATGGGACGGGGTGATGGAAAGCGGGAGAATGGGGCGGGGTGCTGGAAAGCGGGAGAATGGGGCGGGGTGATGGAAAGCGGGAGAATGGGGCGGGGTGCTGGAAAGCGGGAGAATGGGGAGGGGTGATGGAAAGCGGGAGAATGGGCGGGGTGATGGAAAGCGGGAGAATGGGGCGGGGTGATGGAAAGAGGGAGAATGGGGCGGGGTGATGGAAAGCGGGAGAATGGGGCAAGGTGATGGAAAGAGGGTGAATGGGGCAGGGTGATGGAAAGAGGGAGAATGGGGCGTGGTGATGGAAAGAGAGAGAATGGGGCGGGGTGCTGGAAAGCGGGAGAATGGAGCGGGGTGATGGAAAGCGGGAGAATGGGGCGGGGTGATGGAAAGCGGGAGAATGGGGCGGGGTGATGGAAAGCGGGAGAATGGGGCGGGATGATGGAAAGAGGGAGAATGGGGCGGGGTGATGGAAAGCGGGAGAATGGGGCGGGGTGATGGAAACCGGGAGAATGGGGCGGGGTGATGGAAAAAGGGAGAATGGGGCGGGGTGATGGAAAGCAGGAGAATGGGGCGGGGTGCTGGAAAGCGGGAGAATGGGGCGGGGTGATGGAAAGAGGGAGAATGGGGCGGGGTGAAGGAAAGCGGGAGAATGGGGCGGGGTGATGGAAAGAGGGAGAATGGGGCGGGGTGATGGAAAGCGGGAGAAAGGGGCGGGGTGATGGAAAGCGGGAGAACGGGGCGGGGTGATGGAAAGCGGGAGAATGGGGTGGGGTGATGGAAAGCGGGAGAATGGGGTGGGGTGATGGAAAGAGGGAGAATGGGGCGGGGTGATGGAAAGAGGGAGAATGGGGCGGGGTGATGGAAAGCGGGAGAATGGGGCGGGTGATGGAAAGCGGGAGAATGGGGCGGGTGATGGACAGCGGGAGAATGGGGCGAGGTGATGGAAAGAGGGAGAATGGGGCGGGGTGATGGAAAGCGGGAGAATGGGGCGGAGTTATGGAAAGCGGGAGAATGGGGCGGGGTGACGGAAGGCGGGAGAATCAGGCGGGGTGTTGGAATGAGGGAGAATGGGGCGGGGTGATGGAAAGCGGGAGAATGGGACGGGGTGATGGAAAGAGGGAGAATGGGGCGGGGTGCTGGAAAGCGGGAGAATGGGGCGGGGTGATGGAAAGCGGGAGAATGGGGCGGGGTGCTGGAAAGCGGGAGAATGGGGAGGGGTGATGGAAAGCGGGAGAATGGGGCGGGGTGATGGAAAGCGGGAGAATGGGGCGGGGTTATGGAAAAAGGGAGAATGGGGCGGGGTGATGGAAAGAGGGAGAATGGGGCGGGGTGATGGAAAGCGGGAGAATGGGGCGGGGTGATGGAAAGCGGGAGAATGGGGCGGGGTGATGGAAAGCGGGAGAATGGGGCGGGGTGATGGAAAGCGGGAGAATGGGGCGGGGTGCTGGAAAGCGGGAGAATGGGGAGGGGTGATGGAAAGCGGGAGAATGGGGCGGGGTGATGGAAAGCGGGAGAATGGGGCGGGGTTACGGAAAGAGGGAGAATGGGGCGGGGTGATGGAAAGAGGGAGAATGAAGCGGGGTGATGGAAAGAGGGAAAATGGGGCGGGGTGATGGAAAGCGGGAGAATGGGGCGGAGTGATGGAAAGAGGGAGAATGGGGCGGGGTGATGGAAAGAGGGAGAATGGGGCGGGGTGATGGAAAGGGGGAGAATGGGGCGGGGTGATGGAAAGCCGGAGAATGGGGTGGGGTGATGGAAAGCGGGAGAATGGGGCAGGTGATGGAAAGCGGGAGAATGGGGCGGGGTGATGGAAAGCGGGAGAATGGGGCGGGGTGATGGAAAGCGGAAGAATGGGGCGGGGTGATCGAAAGCGGGAGAATGGGGCGGGTGATGGAAAGCGGGAGAATGGGGCGGGGTGATGGAAAGAGGGAGAATGGGACGGGGTGATGGAAAGCGGGAGAATGGGGCGGGGTGATGGAAAACGGGAGAATGGGGCGGGTGATGGAAAGCGAAAGAATGGGGCGGGATGATGGAAAGCGGGAGAATGGGGCGGGGTGATGGAAAGCGGGAGAATCGGGCGGGGTGATGGAAAGCGGGAGAATCGGGCGGGGTGATGGAAAGCGGGAGAATCGGGCGGGGTGATGGAAAGCGGGAGAATCGGGCGGGGTGATGGAAAGCGGGAGAATGGGGCGGGGTGTTGGAAAGCGGGAGAATGGGGCGGGGTGATGGAATGCGGGAGAACGGGGCGGGGTGATGGAAAGAGGGAGAATGGGGCGGGGTGATGGAAAGCGGGAGAACGGGGCGGGGTGATGGAAAGCGGGAGAATGGGGCGGGGTGATGGAAAGCGGGAGAATGGGGCGGGGTGATGGAAAGCGGGAGAATGGGGCGGGGTGATGGAAAGAGGGAGAATGGGGCGGGGTGATGGAAAGAGGGAGAATGGGGCGGGGTGATGGAAAGCAGGAAAATCGGACGGGGTGATAGAAAGCGGGAGAATGGGGTGGGGTGATGGAAAGCTGGAGAATGGGGCGGGGTGATGGAAAGCGGGAGAATGGGGCGGGGTGATGGAAAGCGGGAGAATGGGGCGGGGTGATGGAAAGCGGGAGAATGGGGCGGGGTGATGGAAAGCGGGAGAATGGGGCGGGGTGATGGAAAGCGGGAGAACGGGGCGGGGTGATGGAAAGAGGGAGAACGGGGCGGGGTGATGGAAAGAGGGAGAATGGGGCGGGGTGATGGAAAGCAGGAAAATCGGACGGGGTGATAGAAATCGGGAGAATGGGGCGGGGTGATGGAAAGCAGGAGAATGGAGCGGGGAGATGGAAAGCGGGAGAATGGGGCGTGGTGATGGAAAGCTGGAGAATGGGGCGGGGTGATGGAAAGCGGGAGATTGGGGCGGGGTGATGGAAAGAGGGAGAATGGGGCGGGGTGATGGAAAGCGGGAGAATGGGGCGGGGTGATGGAAAGCTGGAGAATGGGGCGGGGTGATGGAAAGCGGGAGATTGGGGCGGGGTGATGGAAAGAGGGAGAATGGGGCGGGGTGATGGAAAGCGGGAAAATGGGGCGGGGTGATGGAATGCGGTAGAACGGGGCGGGGTGATGGAAAGAGGGAGAATGGGGCGGGGTGATGGAAAGCGGGAGAACGGGGCGGGGTGATGGAAAGCGGGAGAATGGGGCGGGGTGATGGAAAGCGGGAGAATGGGGCGGGGTGATGGAAAGCGGGAGAATGGGGCGGGGTGATGGAAAGAGGGAGAATGGGGCGGGGTGATGGAAAGAGGGAGAATGGGGCGGGGTGATGGAAAGCAGGAAAATCGGACGGGGTGATAGAAAGCGGGAGAATGGGGCGGGGTGATGGAAAGCTGGAGAATGGGGCGGGGTGATGGAAAGCGGGAGAATGGGGCGGGGTGATGGAAAGCGGGAGAATGGGGCGGGGTGATGGAAAGCGGGAGAATGGGGCGGGGTGATGGAAAGCGGGAGAATGGGGCGGGGTGATGGAAAGCGGGAGAACGGGGCGGGGTGATGGAAAGAGGGAGAACGGGGCGGGGTGATGGAAAGAGGGAGAATGGGGCGGGGTGATGGAAAGCAGGAAAATCGGACGGGGTGATAGAAATCGGGAGAATGGGGCGGGGTGATGGAAAGCAGGAGAATGGAGCGGGGAGATGGAAAGCGGGAGAATGGGGCGGGGTTATGGAAAGAGGGAGAATGGGGCGGGGTGATGGAAAGCGGGAGATTGGGGCGGGGTGATGGAAAGAGGGAGAATGGGGCGGGGTGATGGAAAGCGGGAGAATGGGGCGGGGTGATGGAAAGCTGGAGAATGGGGCGGGGTGATGGAAAGCGGGAGATTGGGGCGGGGTGATGGAAAGAGGGAGAATGGGGCGGGGTGATGGAAAGCGGGAAAATGGGGCGGGGTGATGGAAAGCGGGAGAATGGGGCGGGATGTGTGCTCCTGGCTAGCTAGCTTCCAGCTCCGATCGTTATTAGACTGGCGTTTTTAGCTCAGCTTTCTTCTGTGCTTCGGCAGTACCTCGCCTAGTCCCACCTGGCGCTCCTCGCTCTTAGCTCCATTTGCTCCGTGCTCCAGCTGCTCCTAGCCTAGCATCCAATATGGACTCCTCCCGCCGCCTTCGTTTCGATGCAGTGGTAGCGGTAATGGTAATGGTTTGGTGATGGTAATTGTTATGGTAGCGGTTGTCAGAATGTAATGTTTGTCTAGCCTGCAGTGGGGTACTCTATAGTGAGTACAGCCCGAATTAGGGTTTGCTGTATGTATCTCAACTGCTGCTAGTGGAAACCCCTCTTTCCTGTTTCTAGCTTGTGCCTGCTGTTTCGACATGGTATCAGAGCAGGTCGACCCTCCTGGGTCGATCCTGTGGGTGGGCCCCACCCGATGCTTCCGCTGCTCTACTGCCTGTAGCGCGCCCCGGGCGCGCGCCGTTCTCTTCCCGCCGCGCGCTCGGGGCGCGCGGCGGATTTCTGCCCTGCCCGCCGATCCGCGCGTCGCCCCCCGTCGCCCGTCGCAGCGCCCCCGGGGACCCGCGCGTCGCCCCCCGTCGCCCGTAGCGGCCCGCGCGACCTGCGCCAGGCCCGCGCGCGGCCCGTACAGCCCGCGCGCGGCCCGTACGGCCTGCGCCAGGCCCGCGCGCGGCCCGTACGGGCTGCGCCAGGCCCGCGCGCGACCCGTACGGGCTGCGCCAGGCCCGCGCGCGGCCCGTACGGGCTGCGCCAGGCCCGCGCGCGGCCCGTACGGGCTGCGCCAGGGCCGCGCGCGGCTCGGGCAGCCCGCGCGCGGTTCGTCCGGCCTGCCCCAGGCCCGTGAGCGGCCCGTTCCGTGACGACGCGCTGCCCCCCGTCGCCCGTCACGGCGCCTGTGGGACCCGCGCGCTGCCCTGCACCAGCTACGCCGCCCCTGGACCCAGAGCAGCCACCCCTGGCCCCTGGAGCAGCCGCCCCTGGACCCCGAGCAGCCGCCCCTGGCCCCTGAAGCAGCCGCCCCTGGTGCAGCCGCCCCTGGACCCAGAGCAGCCGCTCCTGGCCCCTGAAGCAGCCGCCCCTGGAGCAGCCGCCCCTAGACCCAGAGCAGCCGCCCCTGGACCCAGAGCTGTTGGATGTGTTGGAGCTGCTGGGGGTACTGGAGCTGCTGGTGCTGGTGGCACTGCACTGCCGCGCCTGCCATGCCCGCGCTGCTACTGCTGCTCATTCTGTTACTACTGCTAGGCTACTGCTACTGCTACTGCTGCTACTGGCGGTGGCCAGATGCAGCTCCAGCAAAATCCACGCGAGTCTCTCCCGCCCCAGCAGCTTCGTGAGTGGTACGCTAATTGGGGTTGTGGCGGTAGCCGTCGTAGCTGTCGCCCTGGAGCTGGTCAGTTGGGAGCGTCTGGCAGTGGCCAGCTGCAGCTGCAGCGGCGTCAACGTGAGACACTTACTTCCCAGCAGCTTCACGAGTGGTACGCTCAGAGTAGAGGGTCTTTGAGTCCCGTTCGCTGCCCGTACGTCATTCGCACAGGTGATCGGGCTGGTCAGCCTTGCGGGACACCTGGTCACACACAGTCCCGCTGCTTAGCCCGTCTGAGCGACGCCTGGCGTACCGAGTTTGGCGACGAGGCTGAGCTCCCCACCTGGCTGGAGCTGCTTAGGCAGAGGGTGGATGTATTTGCTCTTGACTATGATGCTATTCTCACTGCCATGTATGCATTGCCTACTAGTGCTGACGGTGTCTGTTACCTGTGCGTACCGCCTGACCCAGGTATAGAGCCTGCTGCTCTAGGTGCTGGTGAGGCTGCTGCCCTAGGTGCTGGTGAGGCTTCTGCTCCAGGTGCTGGTGAGTCTGCTCTTTCTGGTACTGCGCCTGCTGAGGCCTTTTACACCTTCACACTTGACTCCGGTGCTTCTCACTCCTCCTTTCGCGACAGCACCACCCTCACGCCGCTCAGTCGGCCGGTTGCAGTCTCTCTGGCAGACCCCTCTGGGGGTCCAGTCCGTGCGACCTCCACCACTGTCCTCCCTTGTCCTGCTGTCTCGTCCGGCACACAGTCGGGTCTTTACCTCCCCTCGTTCTCTACGAACTTGGTGGCGGGTTCTGCGCTCCAGGACGCGGGTGTTCACCAGTTCACCCCTGCCTACGAGCGTGTGACACACTGCACGTGTGCTCAGACGGGTCGTCACCTGGCTACCTTCACTCGGCAGCCGGGGTCGGGCCTGTACACACTGACCACTGAGTCCCCTCAGGTAGCTGCGTCTGCGTCTGCGTCAGGTCAGTTGTCGGCCCCCTGCTCGTGTCGCGCCTTGTCGCACCAGACCCTCCTTTGGCACCACCGCCTTGGTCACCCCTCGGTGCAGCGCCTTCGCAGCATGCACCGCCGTGTCCTTGTCTCTGGTCTTCCCAGGGTTCTCCCTCCCCTCCCACCCTCGCCTGCTCCTCCCTGTCTTCCCTGTGTCGAGGGGCGGCAGCGCGCCGCTCCTCACTCCTCCTCGTTCCCTCCCACAGAGGCTCCCCTGCAGACTCTCCACCTGGACGTGTGGGGCCCAGCCCGCGTCCGTGGACAGGGTCACGAGCGGTACTTCCTGCTGGTCGTCGACGACTACACGCGTTACACCACGGTCTTCCCCTTGCGTACCAAGGGTGAGGTCCCTGATGTTTTGATCCCTTGGATCCGCGCTGCTCGTCTCCAGCTCCGCGAGCGGTTCAAGTCGGACTTTCCTGTCCTGCGTCTGCACTCTGACAGAGGTGGTGAGTTCTCCTCAGACCTCTTGGCAGCCTTCTGTGCGGAGCACGGCATTCGCCAGACGTTCACGCTTCCGGCCTCTCCGCAGCAGAATGGGGTTGCTGAGCGCCGCATTGGCTTAGTCATGGAGGTCGCTCGTACCTCCATGATCCATGCGGCTGCCCCCCATTTTCTGTGGCCGTTTGCGGTCCGGTACGCCGCGCATCAGCTCAACCTCTGGCCCCGTGTCTCCTTGCCGGAGACCTCGCCCACACTGCTGTGGACGGGGAAGGTTGGCGATGCGTCGCGTTTCCGGGTCTGGGGTGCTCGTGCCTTTGTCCGCGATACCACCGCGGACAAGCTCTCCGCCCGCGCTGTTCCCTGTGTCTTCCTTGGCTTTGTCCCTGACGCGCCCGGTTGGCAGTTTTACCACCCCACCTCGCACCGTGTCTTCCCCTCACAGGACGTCACGTTCGACGAGTCGGTTCCCTTTTACCGTCTCTTCCCCTACCGCACTGCCCCTCTCCCCCCCCCGCCACTCTTCCTCGCTCCAGGTGCTCCCCAGGTAGACCCCCTCCCCGCTCCCGGTCCTGCTCCTTCAGGTGTGTCTCAGGTAGACCCTCCTCCCTTGACTGCGCCGGTTGAGGTCACTGGTGACTCAGGTCCTGCTCGGGGGTGCTGAGCCTGGGGGTGCGGAGCCTGGGGGTGCTGAGCCTGGGGGTGCGGAGCCTGGGGGTGCGGAGCCTGGGGGTGCGGGGACTGGAGGTGCAGAGCCTGGGCGTGAGGAGTTTGGGGGTGCTGCACCTGGGGGCGCTGAGGCGTCTGGTGAGCAGTCTCCCTGGGGCGGCCGTCTCCGTAGTCGCTCCGCTGGTACCTCGCCGCTGCACTCTCGTCGTCGACTCCCTCTCTCCCCACAGCAGCTGCGTGAGTGGTACGCTGACCGTCAGGGTCGCGCTGCTGGAGCTAGGGGCCCTGCTGCGGGAGGCGCTGGAGCTGGTGCCTCTGCTACTGGAGTTGTTTCTGCTGGAGGTTCTGGAGCTGCTTCGGGTGCTGGAGCTGGAGGTTCTGGAGCTGCTGAGGGTGCTGGAGCTGGAGGCTCTGGGGCTGCTGAGGGTGCTGGAGCTGGGAGCTTTGGAGCTGCTGCGGTTGCTGGCGCTGAGGGTTCTGAATCTGCTGTTGTGCGGTCTCCTTGGAGTAGCCGCCTTCGTCCGCGTGTGCCTCTCACCTCACAGCAGCTGCACGACTGGTACGGTCGCCGTCAGGGTCGCGCTTCTGGAGCTCGGGGCTCTGCCGCTAGAGGTACTTCTGCTGGAGTCACTGGAGCTGGGAGTGGTGCTGGTCCCGGAGGTGCTCGTACTGGAGGTACTGGAGCTGCTGGGGCTGGAGGTGCTGAGCCTGGGGGTGCTGCTGTTGGAGACACTGCGGCTGGAGTCCCTGGGACTGGAGGTGCCGGTGCTGAGGGTGCTACTGCTGGTGGAGCTGGTCCTGGAGGAGCTGGCGCTGAGGGTTCTGGAGCTGCTGGAGGTGCTGGAGCTGCATAAGAGACACACGTGCACAGACCTGGGTGAGCTGCGCAGTTACCTTGGCTTGCAGATCACCCGGGACAGAGCACGCCGCACCATCACACTGACTCAGTCACACATGGTGCAGCAGGTCCTTCAGTGCTTCGGCTTCACCTGGTCCTCGGCACAGGCCACTCCTCTGGCTACAGGTCACTCGCTCTCAGCTCCACCTTCGGACGAGTCCGTAGAGCCGAGTGGTCCTTACCCAGAGCTAGTGGGCTGCCTCATGTACCTGATGACCTGCACTCGTCCTGACCTTGCATACCCTCTTGGCCTTCTGGCTCGCTACGTGGCTCCTGGTCGGCACCGAAAGGTGCACATGGATGCTGCTAAGAGGGTACTACGCTACTTGTGCAGTACATCGGGCATGGGGCTCGTGCTTGGAGGGCGGAGCGCAGTCGTCCTCACTGGGCACTCAGACGCTTCTTGGGTTGACGACCAGGCTACGCAGCGGTCGTCACAGGGTTACACGTTCAGCCTTGGCTCTGGCTCTGTTTCTTGGCGTTCTACACGCTCGTCTTCAGTTCTCAGCTCCAGTTGTGAGGCTGAGATCTACGCCACAGCCATGGCTGCACAGGAGTTACGCTGGCTCACCTACCTGCTGACCGACCTGGGAGAGCGGCCTCGTTCTCCTCCAGTGCTGTACGTCGACAACAAGGCCGCCATTGCCTTGTGTGAGGAGCACAGACTGGAGCACAGAACGAAGCACATCGCTCTGCGTTACTTCCTAGCTCGAGAGTTGCAGCAGCGGGGTCAGCTTCGTCTGCGTCACGTGGCCACTCGGGCCAACACTGCCGATATATTCACCAAGGCGC